GGGGATGCCTTATATCTCTGCCTTCGTTTTGTCTAGTGTTCCTCCGTCTTATAACTGCGTTAGTCTGCCAACCCTCCTTGAAAGCAACTTTCATCTTGTTGTCTTCTTGCTGTGGCGTCGGTAGCCTAGTGGTTAGGTTACCGGACTCGTAATCGTGAGATTGCGGGTTCGGGGGTTCGAGCCTCAGCTCGGTCTGACGTTGTGTCCTTGGGAAAGGCACTTTACACGAATTTCCCATTTGGCTCGGTCCTTTCGGAAATGGACGTTAAACTCGGAGGCCCCGCCTCTTAAATAACCTAATAGTGTTGATAGGGGCGTTAAACCTATACCATTTCACCATTTTTTTCTCTGTTTGTTTCGTCCACTCTCAGGCAGACGTTCATCTCGACAAGCATCACCTTCCTGAGGGATAGGAGCTTCGATGGCCTAGACCTTGATTGGGAATATCCTGGCGACCGTGGAAGTCCGCCAGAAGACAAGGGTCGCTTCTCTTTGTTACTAAAGGTAGGATGGATGGATGGATGGATAGATAGATGGACAGACTGACCGACTTGCTGTTTGATTATTTATTTATTTATTTATTTATTTGATGTACCATAAATAGTTTAGACCATTCTGGAGGCTGTCTGCTTCGACGCTGCCTATCAGGGCCATTCGGGACAGAGTGGGATCAAACATCTCAGCAGACGAAGGAAGATACTACTACTTCAATTTTTTCCCCCACTACCGAGTCGGGAATCGAAACCAGATCTTCTGCGTGTAGCGAAGCAATGGCTGGACACATAGCATGGATACGCATGAGTAAAAGGAAACATTTAGAAGTCATTAAGATCAGGGAAATGTAAGGCGGATGGACAGAAACAAAAGAGGGTGAGATTTATAAGACAGGTTGACAGAAACAGAAGAGGGAGAGAGAGCAAGTAGGATGGATCTACAACTGGCGCCTTCAAGCACTAGCTCAGAAACGACTGTATTTTTTTCCAAACGTTGCACCTTCTAAAGTTATTGAACCAAAAATGCACGAGTGGATTACATACTTATCCTTTAGCATTTTCATCTCTATGGTGGCACACAGTCACAAAGCTTTCCACATGGGGCAATAATTTCGTCCTTGCAGTATGTATAATATTATCATGCATCATTATCAAAGTATTTTAGGTTAGAAGGAAACGTTTTTAAAAGGCAAACTTTGAATACCTTGCCGCCCAGTGACGGTTTCGTTCTTCATCTTGTCTTAAGAATATTCTGATTTCACTTTAGGTCTTGATTTTTTTCTCATCTTCCTGAGACTTTGTTGTATTATTGGTGTGCTATGTTTAGAAGGTTTTCCATGATAGAACTTATTCCATCCCCCAACTTCTTCGATACAGTAGAAAAGGACAGTAACAAATCAATCCAGCCAAACAAACAATAACAAACAAACAATAACAAACAAACAAACCACGCAACCAAGCAAGAAATCAACCAACTAACAAACTAACAAACAAAGAAACCAACAAACGAAAAAGCTTACTAAAGTAGACAAAATAAAAACAAAAGAAAAAAACACAACAGTAGAAAAACAAACACGTGTAATAATGATTATAAGGAATTATTTCATTTTTTTCATTATTATTCATTGTTATATTTTGATTGATTATATTATATTTCGTTTCGACTGCTCTCTAGGAAACCTTAGACGCTTACAAGGAGGAGGCGGCTCTGACCGGCAAGCCTCGCCTTCTGCTGACAGCCGCGGTGGCTGCTGGGAAGACTGCTGTTGACAAGGCCTACGAGATACCAGAGCTGGCCAAGTAAGGAGAAAGAGCGAGACATTTCCACAGATGGAGAGGGAGAGGGGAGGGAGAGGTGGGAATAGAGAGGAGAGAAGAGAGGAGAAGTGGAGAA